CTCTAGCAGGTGATTGCAAGGGTTTTCATTTTCATGCCTTGAGAAAGGTTGTGCCCAAACCATAGCTTTTGAACTAGGGTAGAGTTCATAGCCAGATAAAAGGTCTGGTTTTTTAAGGTGGCTTAGGGAACTCCCCCTTTGAAGCGAAATGGTTTTGATAGGAGTTGAGTTCATGGTGAAAAAGATAAAAGAAAATATTTTTGTATTTATAAAAAGAAAGGATATAGATACGAGGACAAATTAGGTTCAAAGAAAATATCAACCGTTCCCCGGCATCGGCGTCAGAAAAGCTTGTTGGTATTTCTTAATGTCTACAGAAGTTAATCCACAAGCATACGGAATTACCATTGTAGCTTTCAACTGGAAGTATTCAGGGTATCGTATTTCCACAAGGAATGGAGGTATTTCATCTAGCTAATTCATCCAAGAACAACATAAGGATAGCTGATAAGGGTAGAGAAGGGTTCCTATGGCTTAGGTCTAAGAATAGATAAACTCTACTATTACGTGCTTACTTCGGGCACCGGCTTATAACTGGTCTGCCAGGTACCTTTGGCCTGTAGCTCTACGTCGTATCCGAATGTGGGGGATTACGAAGAACGGATAGGGCTGTCACCACCTGCTGCCTATCCCTCAACCAGGGGATATGAGGCAAATAAAGGTAGCCTCTAGCCTAGACACCACATCTACGCTATCGACTACTATTCTAGTGTCGATCAGGGTGATCCATCTTTATCGGGAGCCCTTTACTAGAGTATCCATCACGAGGACGGATGACTAACCCGCAAACAAGTAAGATTATAGCTTAACTACTCAAAGATTTTATACCAAAAGAATCATGAATACTCACTTAGCGGGAAAACCCGTTGAGGCACATTTATTCGTCGAGGTATAAGGCGGGGAGACACCGACAAGCCCGGCTTTTCCCCATACTCTTCCCTCACATCGCTCCCTACTAACTTTAGCTACCTATATAGGGCCTAAGTCCATTGGAGTGGTGCTCTTTCTCTTGCTCTAGCTCTTTGCTCTTCTCCTTAGTGTGTTGCTGTCTTCATATGAGGAGAGGGAGCCTCCTTTCATAGGTGGAGAGAAGGGAATATGCTTGCTCCCCATATGGAAGGTACCAAACCGACCCTAAACTGCCATCTAGGTACATTGAACCTAGCAAGCACCTGCGTAACCATCATTGCATAGGCGGCATCAATCGATCGACCAAAGCTTGGGCCAATCGAGGCTAGTGGGGGTACGGGTGCGGCCGCACCATGGTTGGGCTAGATCAAGCCCATTTTTGGTGGGTGAACTTCTTTGATCGTTTGGACTTGGCCCATAATGGTTTTCGCGCGGAGTCAAGTTGGTTTGGTTGAAATTTGGCCTTCTTCTCCACTCCTTCGAGCCCTGATTCTGCTGATAAGTGGGCTATCTCCCCTTGGACTCATGTCGGATGTATATAATATTGCATTTCTTGTATATTTTAGGCTTTTTTCTATGTAATGCCGACATGTCATCCTGCAAATGAATAATCACCAAAGCTTGTGAAACTAATTAGTTAGTTAAGTCCTAATTCTAAGTTTGTTGTTTACACTACACAACACCGAGATCGGCAATGGACGATCTGACACTAAAAGAGGATATAGCAACAGGCGATTTGTTGCTAAAAAGTTATAGCGACAGACTTCTGCAGATGGTTAAGTCCTATCACTAAAAATCTTTAGCGATAGACAACACTTTTACCGACATATCATCTGTTACTCTAAGTATTTATATAGGCCACTCTTTAGCGACAGATAACTCATTACTACTTTTAGTGACAGATCATTTGATGCTACATATAGTTTTACCGACAGATGGTCCAACGAGATAGTTTTAAATAGTTAAACAAAATAAAAATTGATCTGTCAACAACTATTACAAATGTCACTGAGCTTCAAAAGTTCATTAAGCGGATACACAACTAGAATAAAAACTTCAATAGAGATACATGCATCTTCTCAAATTTGACCAAAAGTTTACAGCTCACATAGGTAAGCTCACAACCAAATCTACTTCCACTAGCTAGAACAGATAATCCATCCTTTCTATACATGCCACGAACAACACTAATTATATCTTTACATCCAGGCTCTGTAAAGCACAAAATGGTTTAGAGACTGTCTTATCAAATTTTTTGGTCTGTTTACTTGGTACAAGACATCTACAGGGTAATGTTTCTCATCTCTGACTTCACTCATTAGACTAGAAAATTAAATAGAAAAAAATTATAAAGACAATAAAGCAAAATTCAACCCACTAATAATGTTCAGTTACAGTTCACATGGTTTAGAGACTGAACACTGTAAGAGTTTTGGTCAATAAAGGAAGTATAAACATGTTGGTAAGCTAATGAAAGGACTGGTGCTAATCTTCTGATAGCTAAGAAAATGAATGCTAACTAATTAACTAGCTAATGAAAGCTACAGTTAACATGTGGAAAAATAAACCCAAGAGCTAATGCGAAGAAATATGCATAGCTGTAATTAAACAATCTATGCACACATTGCCAACCAACCAGATCAGGAACAAGCTTTAGGACAAGCTACTAAAACTGGGTACTAAACCTGCAGAGAATAAAGAGCTAGAAAAGCAGCAAGCTACATGAAGCACTAACAAAAATTAACAGAAGTTAAAAGCTTAGAGCAACATTACAGTTAAAACAACCAAACTATTGACTAAACAGAATGCAAACACCACCTCTCTTGCACTATTGGCCAGCACACTAAGTAAAAAAATTGCTCAACGGAAACTAAAGTGAGCTGGAGCTCCTGTCAACATGCAAAGAACAGGAAAGCTATGGTCTTATAAAAAAACAATGCTGAGCTGCTGTTGCTGCTTCTGAATCTGCATGAGGTCATCATATATGCAGGATTGTGTCGCCTCGTGGTAGAAGCTTGGCATTGGGTTGGCTTTGAAGGTCAGGCTCTTCCTCAGCTGCTTCAGAGCCTCCTCCTGCTCTTTCTGCAGATTCAGAAATGCATGAACAAACAGTAAAGACTCAGCTCTAAAAATTGTTCAGCAATCAGCATGCATCCAATGCATTTTCAGATTCGCCAAAAGACCGGTTTACAATATATCATGCAATTCTGTGTTTTCTAAAAAGATTTTGCTTGGTGTGTTATAAATCTGATTGGCTGATTCAGACAGTCAGTACAACCGTTAGTTTCTTTCAGTTAAGAGCATGTTGCAGATTGCAAGCATAGAGAGCAGTTCCAACTAAAAGAACAGTAGAGCTGCATCACGTGTCCAAGCAGAACAGGAACAGAACCAATGAACCATGAGTCCATGACTAAAAGCAAATAATAGAACAAGTTCAGAACACAACGGCAAGTAATATTAGATAGGCAGCAAAAACTTCAGGTTTCATGACTGAATCATGATCGACACTAATGAATCAACTTCAATTACGCATAGATGAGCATCAAGGTTCAGGTCAACTAAACAATCCGAGCATACCAGAAGTGGAATCTTGTTCTTGCTAAAATTTTAAAGAAACAAAGCTACCACGCACACAGTCGGCAGGAGACTTTTTCACAGAGCCAGTAATATTTCATAGTGAAGCTTCATATATGCTCTAAAATAAAAGTCAGGGGCTATCATAAGCTAACAACCTAGAGCTGTTGTGAGGAAAGCTTAAATTTTTCTACAGACCATCTCATGAAAAAACAAGCTTAATTTTTTAAGAGTTAAATGCATCAAAGGTCCATTAACTTGTGAGGAGGTTTCAGTTAGGTCCATCAACTTTTAAAGTGGCTTTTTGGGTCTATAAACTTTATATACCGTATCACTTAGATCCATATCCCTCCACGTGGACTTCTCATGCTAACATGGCTCGCTGACTGGTCCTTATCCTCTCCCAAGTTGGAAACGGACGGTTCCAGACTCCAGACTACCGTCGTGAGTGCTGCCACTCGGGGGCACAGGAGGCCAGCCACCGGCGGTCACCGGCCAGCCACCGCCGTGAACCAGCCGGCCCCCTTAGGGGCGCGGCGTAGGGTCCGCTGCAGCGAGCGTGTACGCTGGCCCCCCCACCGCTGCAGGCGAAGAGGCCGCCGTCCACGGGCGCGAGGCGGCATGCGTGCCCAGCCGCAGGACGCGAAGACGAGGCCACCGACCGTCGGCACAAGACCGCCGTAGTGGCTACTGGCCGTGGCGCGAGGCCATAGGCGAAGGGGCCACGGCGCGGAGGGCACGTGTCCTTCGAGCATATGCCGTGCAGGGTCACGGCGAGGAGGCAGCCATCCGCGGAGTCGCCAGCCGCGAGGTCTTGGACTGCCTGCTCTACCTGGCCTCTCCTTAGCCATGGACGCCGCCGCAGCAGCAGCCTCCACCACACTCCTCTACGGTGTGCTCCTCCTGGTGGTGTTCCTCTTCGTGGCCGCCGCGGTGCACGGCCGCGGGAGCAAGAGCAACGGCGGCGGCCTCCCGCCAGGTCCCATGGGCCTGTCGCGTGGTGGTTAGCTCCCCGTCCCTGGCGCGCGAGGTGCTACGCGAGTAGGACCTCGTCTTCTCCGGCCGCGACGTCCCGGACGCTGCGCGCTCCATCTCCTATGGACGTGGCATCATCGTACGCGTAGCTGTAGGCAGAGGGGCACGCGGCCCTGAAGAAGCGGGAGTAGGGCATCGGCGTGCATGTCGCCGGGGACCCGTACGCGCCGGTGCAGCAGTACTCGCCACCGCGAACGCCTCGCACGCGCTCCTGCACGCCACCGCCGCCCTGCCCCCCACGCCGGCGACGCGCAACTCCACGGGGCATGCCGCGTTGAGGTCAACAGCGCACCCCGTGGGCCAGCAGCTGCTGCTCCCGTTGGCGGCCGCCCCAGATGACGCCCGCGGCGCGACGAGCATTGGCATGTTGAATCCATCGACGAGGCTGACGTCGTAGAAGTCATCTCCGCCGGTACCGCCGGGGAGCGTGAGCTCGGCCACGGTGACGCCCACTCCTGCTGCAGCCGTGCAGGGGTGTCCCGATGGCGGTGATGATCGACTGGTGCCGGGGCATGCGCATGCGGGGTCTTCGCGTGCAGAACGCACATCAGATGCACGTAACGGTGTCTAGGTCCCGCGACATGCGCGTGGCCAGGCTCCGCATCGAGGCCCCCGAGGACAGCCCCAACACGGATGGCATCCATGTGGCCGAGTCCACGGCGGTGACCATCCAGAGGTGCCACATCGGCACCAGCAACGGCTGCATCTCCATCATCAACGGTAGCTTCGGCGTCAAGATGTGGGACATCGATTGTGGCCCGGGCCACGACATCAGCATCGGCAGCCTGGGCAAGGGTGGCGCATTTGCGGCGGTGGCGGACGTGGCACTGGACAGCGCGCGGATCAGTCATGCGTAGAACGGGGTGCGGATCAAGACATGGCAGGGCGGCATTGGGTACGTCCGCGGCATGCGCTTGGCCAACGTCGCCATCGATGGCGTCGACCACCCCATCATCATCGACCAGTTCTACTGCGACGCTGCCACCCGCCCCTGCGCCAACTAGACCTTCGTCGTGGCCATGTCCGACGTGTCGTACCGCAACATTAGTGACACGTTGCGGCGCGCCGAGGCCATTAGGTTCACGTGTAGCAACGCCGTGCCCTGCACCGGCATCATGCTCAGTGACATCAACCTGCGCCGCGCTAATCATGATGGCGAGGTGCAGACCGTGTGCAACTACGCCGTCGGGTTCGACTACGGTCACATCTAGCCCGCCGCTGACTGCCTCCGCAGCAGCACCTGCGGCGGCGCGCCTGATAAGCACCACCCGATGACCACGACGAGGAGTAGGGGAAAGACGAGGCCATCATCCTACACACCGAGCTCTGATGCGCATGCAGCTACAACTGCAACCAATCACGCGCCCACAGGATGTTTGACGAAATGAAGCGTCAAAAGTTGCTTTAGAAGGACAAGTCAGCAGGCCACGTCAGCACAAGAAGCCAATGTGGACAGCTATGGACCTAAGTGATACACATACTAAGTTTATGGACCCAAAAAGCCACTTTGAAAGTTGACGGACCTAACTGAAACCTACTCACAAGTTAATGGATCTCTGGTGCATTTAACTCATTTTTTAACTAGCAAAAGAGACATGCATCCAGCTTTGGAACAACAGGCCATACTGCAGAGCTCGGGCTTACAAGCTCGGGCTTGCAGAGAAGAGGAAGAAATAAGATCCTTGCTTTACGAGCTCCGGCTTGCAGAAGATAAATGGTGGCCTCGTCCTTCATCTAGCTCCGCTCCTGCAGCAAAAATGAGAACTCAACTTGAGCTTCAATCAACACACATAGTGACAGACAATACAAAACTATCGAGTAAACCAATTACCAACACTGATACACATGTTCAGTCAAGTTTTATGCGCTGGTTTTATTTCAAAAACCATCGGGTTACCAGCAGGAACTGAAAATTGTTGTTAATAAAACGTATTACCATTCGGATACCAAATCAACAATATTACTTATATCATCATCATTATGGTTGTCCTCAAATCGCACCAAATCGACCATATTACTATCATCATCACTGTTGTCCTCAAATCCCACCCGAATTCTTCCATGGGAACCAATTAATTGGAGCAAGCATAACCACAAGGCCAGGCTACTATCTTAGTCAGATTCCTCATCCATTTCTCAAATCGAAACAAAAACAACAAGCGATGAAGAGGGGGAGGAACACAGGGCTCACCAAGAAGACCTTCTCCTAGCCACGTCCCCGACGACGAGCCCTAGGGGCCAGAGCTTGCCTAGGTCCCTCGCCATCGCCTCGACCGCCTTCCTCAACGGGGCCATCTCGCAGTACCTGAGGTGGCCCTCCTTGGCGAACCCCCACCCCTGACGCAGGCCACCCTGGCCAGGCACCTCCTCCTCCCCACCCTCGCGGCCACCGGGGACGCTGATGGCAGCTCGGGTCGCCAAAGCATGGTGCCGGTGAGCTCCATGCATGGCGATGGCGAGAACCTTCGCTTCATGCATGGCTGCCAATGCCACATACAAGATCTGCTGCTGCAGGAGCTGACGCCCAGCCGCCGCCCGCCGTAGTTCCTTAGCGCGTGAATGGGAGGAGAGAGATGAGGTGTGTAGCTAACGGACAGGGAGGGAGCTGAGGGCCAGGCACCGGGGAGGAGTTGTGGCCAGTGGCGGCGCAGGCTAGGGCTGGGGCCGCCGGGTCAGGCGGAGCAAAAAGGAAGGGATGGCTGGATCGGTGAGGATAGGGTTTCTGGTGTCTATTTTATACAAGGAAGGTTGCATTCTCGCCCGTTGGATCAAGATGGATGGACAAGATCATCTGCAATCTTAATTGAGCCTTCAAATTTGAGAGTGGACTTATGTTGTATCAGCCCATTAGAATTTAACCTTTACTTTTTAAATAATAGAACAAAGTGGTGTTATCTGTATCTAATGATAGTTGGCTATAAATATTATTTGTGCAGACCTATAAATTTATAATATAATTTTTGACTATCTAAGATGTGTTTTTAGAATTCTCTAGAATTTTTGAAGTAATTTGCTATTTTTAAAGGTGTAAGTGATTTTTATGTGATTTTCGAATGTAACTCCAAATTGAACTGCAAAAGCATTTCAAAAAATATAAAAATAAAAAAGTACATATAAGAAGACAATTAAAGAACTCGATGCAATAAAAGAGAAGAGAATATTACCGCAGTCGCAGCTTGGGAGTTGGGAGGCCGTGGTAGATCTTGACTGCAAGTAGCCTTCTCAGGACGTGGTCACTATAGTTAGTTAAGTACTATTGAACATGGTCACTATAGTGCCCCATTTGGAGAAGAGAAGGGTTTAAGGTTTCTCAGTATCCTTGTGGCCAGGCTAAAAATTTTCGCGCAAGCCCAATTTAAGCTGGCGCCCGAGCTCAATGTAAACGGGGTGTGCAAGCTAGGTGGGGGCCACATCTTTTTGGCAACAGATAGTTTGATGGCATACCTATTTTTAATGTCAGATAGTTTGACGTTAAATATGATTATCTATAGCGACAGACAATGAATCGCTAAATGAGAAATTAGCGACATATCGTCTGTGAGTTATCTTTAGCGACAGATCATCCATCGATAAATATAATTTTTAGCATCAGATGTCTGATGGTGATGCGGTGTTGTGGTGTAGTGTTATTTTAGCAGTTTTTTATATAAATGTTAGCGGTTAAAAGTGTGAGTTAAGGACCGCCAACAATGATTTTTTTTGAAAATTTCAGAGACACCTCAAAATACTCATGCCAAAAGAGGCCACCAGTTCCTGTTACCCCTTTTGAACCATTAGACGAAGATTTTCTAATGGAATCCATAAAGGGGTTGACTGCTATCATGAGCAGCGAATGGGTGGAAGAAGTGGAGCAATCTCCTGAAGAAATTCAGATTCACGCCCCTTCTTCAACCATCCAATGCCATATCAGCATGATCATGGTGAAAACGCTTTACAATCCAACTGTCGGGGCAAACCACATGTCTGCATCTTTTGCACGCACCTATTTAGGTGATGAACCTATTGCTCCGACAGTTAAAACTGTTAGGGTTGCACCTCGTTCTAGACTAGAAGGGCTAGGGATTCTTCACAACATATCATTATACCATAATAATGTTGAGTTTATCCTAGACTTCCATGTCTTCGACATTCAGGACTTTGACATCCTGATTGGGCATCCCCTAGAAAAGCTCTTTGTTGAACTATGAGAAACAAGGGATCTAGAAATAAAGTTGGGGAGAGACACATTTTCCATTCCGATCACTCGAGCCAAAAACTCGGTGGCAGAATCTCTCCCCTATCCTAACCTGGCCAAGGAAGTTATGTCAGTTTTACCCTTTGAATCCCCTGAGACATCCTTAGAAAAAGATGCAAAACTCTACATAGAAGAAGAGGATGACTTAGGAGAAACCATAGACCTTCCCAAGAAGGAAGCACAGACACGACCTCTAGTTGTACTTAAACCCCTACCCACTGGCTTACGTTATGCTTTCTTGAATGGCGACAAAGAAACTCCTATAATCATAAGTGATAAGCTTACTAATGAGGAGACCACTAAACTCATCGCTATCTTAGAAAAACATAGGCTAGTCTTCGGGTATTCTTTGCAAGATCTTAAGGGGATAAGTCCAATGTTTGCACTCATCGCATTCCAATTGATCCTTCGAGTACACCATCTCGAGAGCCTCAGCATAGGCTCAACAATGTGATGCGAGAAGTCATGAAGAAGGAAGTCCTCAAACATCTTCACGCCGGGATTATTTATCCTATACCGCATAGCGACTGGGTTAGCCCCGTCTAAGTGGTAACTAAGAAAGGAGGAATGACGGTAGTTGAAAACAATAAGAATGAGTTGATCCCATAACGTACCATCATGGGGTGGAGAATGTGTATTGATTACTGGAAGCTCAACGCGGCTACAAAGAAAGACCACTACCTGCTGCCTTTCATTGATGAAATGTTAGAGCAGTTGGTGAAGCATTCTTTCTTGTATTTCCTCAATGGGTATTCGGGGTATCATCAGATTCCCATCCACCCCGATGATCAAAGCAAGATGACCTTCACATGCCTCTAAGGAACGTACGCATATCGACGTATGTCTTTTAGGTTGTGCAATGCACCCACTTCGTTCCAACGATGTATGATGTCTATTTTCTTAGACATGATAGAAGAAATCATGGAGGTTTTTATGGTCGACTTTTGAGTCTATGGCAAAACCTTTGACCACTATCTAGAGAATTTAGACAGTCTTGCAAAGATGTCAAGAAAAGGACCTGGTATTTAACTAGGAAAAGTGTCATTTCATGGTCCAAGAGGGCGTCGTTCTTGGGCACCTCGTGTCTGAGAGGGGGATTGAGGTAGATAAGGCAAAGATCAAAGTGATCGAACAGCTACCACCCCCCATAAACGTAAAAGGGATCCATAGTTTCCTAGGTCATGCGGGGTTCTATAGATGGTTCATCAAAGACTTTCCCAAACCGCTCATGAGCCTACTAGCTAAGTATGTACCCTTTGAGTTCATAGATGAGTGCTTAAATGCTTTCCACACTCTTAAGAAAGCACTCATCTTAGTGCCAATCATCCAACCACCCAATTGGTCGCTACCATTTGAGATCATATGTGATGCTAGTGACTATGTTGTTGGTGCGGTCCTTGGCCAAACCAAAGATAAGAAGCATCATGAAATCACAAATGCTAGCAAAATGCTGACAGGAGCACAGCTTAACTATGCAACTACTGAAAAAGAACTTCTTGCAGTCGTTTTTGCTATTGATAAATTTAGATCTTAGTTGGAGCACAAGTTATCATTTACATTGATCATGCTGCATTAAAATATTTGCTCACAAAGAAAGATGCGAAACCGTGCTTAATAAGATGG